CGGAGGAAGCAACGGCGGAGCCCTCCCCTCCCTGAAAGCAGCGCCCTTCTCTCAGTGAAGGCAGCGGGGCGCGCTGTCGTAAGGGCGGAGGATTCTCGCCGGAGGGTCTCGCCGGAGGGGTAGCTTTTGGGGAGGAAGGCCCTCAGCCTTCTTGCGAAAACTGCTCCAGATGTCAGGAGGAACTTCTTGACTGTAAAAGCTGTGATCTGGTGAGACGGGCTGCCCCACGAAATGCTGGCATTCTCCTGGCTAGGGGTCTGGGCCGGGGGCATCCGAGAGAGGGGCTCTGGAGCAAGGCTGCTCAAACATTTGCAGGCTGTGGCACAGTTAAAATTCCTCGCACACCCCTTCAAAAGCAGAGTTCCAGTTATACAAAATATATACTGCTTTTGAGTGAACTTTTTTCTCCTTAATCTCTCACAGAACCCAATACTGTATGAAAATCCCTGTTCTTGTGAATCCTGCACCAAGTACGAGGGTGTACTAGGTGACTTCTAAAGCCCCTTCCAAGTCTACAATTCTAGAAAAAAAATCATCGGCCGTGTCATTAGGAGTGCAGCTTGACCCTACGCATATTTGTTTTGACTAGATGTGCCAATAACATATATGTTACTGACCCCCATTAGGGATACTTCACACACAAGAAAGAAATGTGCCATGTGGGCCTCCCCCTGGACGTGGCATCCAAAATACTCTTGATGAGGCCTTTATTTACTTCACTTAATCCACATTGGCTAATGACCCTCTCTTCCCAGATAGTATTTTAAACTGAGATTTTACTTTATATTTAGTTTAAGGGAGTACAGTAGTCTGTTCATAATAGGTGTGCCCTGGATTGCTGCCCTGGATAGAGTTACTGCCCTGGATTCTAATCCAAAGCAAAGGTCCTTGGAATTCAGCCTCCCTGATTTCAGTGGGGTGCCCTCCCGGGCAAGGGCCCATTTTTTCCTGAGGATTCTTGGGCATGTTGCTGATGCTTCATCAGATGTCCCAGCATTCCACTGAGTTCAACAGAGATTATGCTCGGTGTTTCCAAATTCTGTAACATAGAAATTTAGAAATGAAAATGCAAAATCCATAGATTTTTGGCTTACTTTAATGAAATTTTTTGGGAAAAGTTAAATTTTGGTGAGGCTTAAGATGTGGAGTCTCAGAATGGTAGCAGCTCCACACAACTGGGATGTGTGAAAAAGTTTCATTCTCTGCCCAAATAAAGGTCCAACACTGCACACATATTTTTCTGTTTGTTATCTTCCCTCATTAGAACTAGAATGATAGTATTTTGGAGCAAGTATTTTAGGGTAGCCTGTAAAGTCACTAATAACATCACTTTGCATTACTCACTCCAAGCATCCCATTTATTGTGATAATTATCCTCATAAAGGAAAGTAAGAAAATCCATTGCAAAATTCAGCAGAAGATGGCACTCCAACTACTTCTGGGGTTAGATGGGACGATGAAACAAAAATATTTTTTCAGAAAGGAAAATAAGATTAGGTTCTTCTACGTCAATGAATAATGTGAAGATCATGGACGTGAGGGGTGAATCCTTTTCTCTTGGGTTCTTGCTCGCAACTCTACATCATCCCTGAAGCTGCTGGTAGCAATTTGGGGAAAAAGACAGATGTCGTACAGGAAGTTGAACAGGCCAGACAAGTTTTACTTTTTGCCATTCTTTCTTTAGAACAAGAAGAGGTAGACTGTTGGGGACACTTTGTGTATGAAAATTAGGAAACTTATCTCACCTTTTTAAAGGCCATGTATGATACCAGTTTTGGTGTATACACATAGTGAAGCTATAGAATAATTGTTCCCTTTGTACATTTTCTACCATTGCTAGCCGTATATGCCAAATATTTAAAGTTTTAATGTGTTTGTAATAACTGTTTAATTAGCTGTGTTGTAAGAAAATTGGAGATATGAAAGGAACGCTTAGTGCAAAGATGGGCATGATAAAGGACAAAAAAGGCAGGGACCTAACAGAAGCAGAAGAGATTAAGAAGAGGTGGCAAGAATACACAGAAGAACTATACAAGAAAGATCTTAATGTCCCTGATGTCCACGCTGGTGTCTGGATCATGGAGAAAGCACGAGAGTTCCAGAAAAATATCTACTTCTGCTTCATTGACTATGCAAAAGCCTTTGATTGTGTGGATCACAACAAACTGAGAGGAACTAGAGATCAAATCGCCAACATTCGCTGGATCATGGAGAAAGCACGAGAGTTCCAGAAAAATATCTACTTCTGCTTCATTGACTATGCAAAAGCCTTTGATTGTGTGGATCACAACAAACTGAGAGGAACTAGAGATCAAATCGCCAACATTCGCTGGATCATGGAGAAAGCACGAGAGTTCCAGAAAAATATCTACTTCTGCTTCATTGACTATGCAAAAGCCTTTGATTGTGTGGATCACAACAAACTGAGAGGAACTAGAGATCAAATCGCCAACATTCGCTGGATCATGGAGAAAGCACGAGAGTTCCAGAAAAATATCTACTTCTGCTTCATTGACTATGCAAAAGCCTTTGATTGTGTGGATCACAACAAACTGAGAGGAACTAGAGATCAAATCGCCAACATTCGCTGGATCATGGAGAAAGCACGAGAGTTCCAGAAAAATATCTACTTCTGCTTCATTGACTATGCAAAAGCCTTTGATTGTGTGGATCACAACAAACTGGAGGATGAGATGGTTAGATAGCATCACTGAAGCAATGAGCATGAAACTGAGCAAACTCAGGGAGGCAGTGAAGGACAGGAAGGCCTGGCGCAATATGGTTCATGGGGTCACGAAGAGTCGGACACGACTTAACGACTAAACCACAACAACAATTAATCCAACATCATTTTCTGTCTGGTTTGCAAACATCCTTTCCACCAAATGGAAATTCACCAAATGTAGTTCACTTCTGAGCTTGATCTGTTTCTCCTCCGTAGTTTTGGGTGCGCAGAAGGACTTAACATGACCAGTCATAAAGAGCCTCAAAACAGATGAAGGGAGTGGATTGTCTTGGGCAGAGGAGAAGAGGACAATCCCAGACAATCCCACACCACCACTGTTTAACGATGGACCACTATACGAGATTAAAAAAACCCCGCTTTTCTTGCATATCTTGATCTCTGCTGTGTGGAGGAAGTGGAATTATGCAGAACATTGAGAATATTTCTCGTTAATTTTAGCATACAATTCTTTTTTGGGGGGGTGCTACAAAA